GACATAACAACATCAACAATGCCATCTCAGACTTATTCACCTGCTCATCTTCTAACAGTTGTATTTGTCATCAAATGTCAACAATGCCCTTCAGTCCTCTATATAGGAGAAACAGGTCAAACCCTACACCAAAGGATAAATGGACACAAATATGACATCAAGAATCCCAAAACAGAGAAACCTGTAGGAGAACTTTTCAACCTCTCAGGGTACTCCGCAGGGAACCTCAGAACAGCAACAGCATGCCACAATGCCTCTCCAATGTGAAAAGACATGTGCAAAGTGTCAGATCTTCAGCTTTGATGCTAAAAAGTGCCTTTAACCTCTCATGTAGTTAGTGTCATACAGGGGTCATTTCGTAGAAAAAGAGCTAGGGGGACTCATTAGCATAACTCATTAGCATATGCCACACCCCCTGATATCACCGGAAGTGTGTCCTCCCCACAGCCGGCGGCAACCTCCAGCGGGCACCAGCAGGGAGCTCCAGGCCTCGCCCTCCCGCACCTCACCCGGGGGGGATGGCGTCCCCCCCGTCCCCCCCCCCCAAATGACCCCTGGTGTCATATATAAATATAGTTCAGGTAGGCTGGAAAACAAGCTGAATTTGCTTTACTTGGTGTCAATTATATATATTTGTATGAAGACTGATTTAAATACAAATCAAGCCACATGTGAAAATGTCCTCATACAAAGCACAAATAACATACCTCAAAGATGCTTTTTTGTCTCAAATGTTTGAAATAATATTTTAGTACCAAGGCTCCACTCTAGAGTATATGAAGTAATTTTAAAGAAAATAATTATTGCTTTACCGTGGGCTATTTTTGGATCCAGTAAAAAAACCAACAACCTTTATTGGCATAACAACCAAATTATAACGGGGGGAAACAGTCCGAAGGATCCAGTATTATATGCATTCAGGGCCATCGTGTGGGGCATGCTCCTAGAGCTCTAGGCAGCCTTCAGTAGGTTCTCATACACCCCCTTCTCTGCAATCCTGCTTTCCCCTCACCACTGAGAGAGGTTTTTCCCCACTCCCATAATCCTATAACCCAGCGGCATCCATTGAAGCTGACAGGCAATGGGTTCAGGACTGACAAAAAGAAATACTTTACTCAACAAGTAATTAAATTGTGGAATTCACTACCAGTGGACATAGTGATAGCTGAAAGTGTAGATGGTGTTAAAGGGTTCGACAGATTGCTTAAGGATAGTGTAAGATATTTGCAATGGTAGTAAATTCTTCCATGAAGACTCTCACACAAGACTGAACTGGAAACTAACAGTTTTACCTAAGACGCACCATCATAGAGTAAAGCTAATGCAAGATTTAACATAACAAGCAACTGAGTGAAACATAACTACAGATTCAGACACATTCAAATATCTAACAGTCAGGTCCGTCAATAGGGTTGCCAAATGGGCCCGGGGCCCGGGGGGAACCCCGCCCCCGAAGCTGTGTCACCACATTGCTGACGTTGGGGGCGTGGCTGAACTCGTCGGGGGGGAACCATATGGTTTTCCCCCCAACGAGCTCGGCCACGCCCCCAACGTCAGCAACGTTGCACGTCACTTCTGGTGCCGTCCTGCCGTCGCGCGTGTGCAAAGGGCACGCGTGCCGAAAAGGACCTCCCAGACACCGACAAGGCTCCCCCGCTCCGAGGGGTAAGTGGATTTGGCAACTCTATTCGTCAATGACTACAACCCATGGTGACTGAAGGCAGCATCAGGAAAGGTCTTGGTCTCTATGCCCTCTTTAGTCACCGTGAAACAGGTTGTTGGACTAGATGGACCACTAGTCTGATCCAGCAGGGCTCTTCTTGTGTTCTTACTGAGAAACCACACAGCCCTGTACATCTATCCTCCGGTATATATAATTCTGTTTTGGTCATGGACTCCCCTGAACATTCCAACATGCTCCAAAATCAGTTCGCTCTCTGATCTGTCATTCAGAGGGTCTCCCTATCCACTGGCTGCTTTGCCTGAGTCCTGAGTCCTGCCTCCAACATTCTAAACAGTTTGCTCTTCCTCTCCCCCCCCCCCACAGCCAGTCAGAACACAGAGGTCATTTGCATATGTGGCCTGATTCGCCTTTGCCTCGGAACACAGACGTCATTTGCATATATGGCCTCACTGGCCTTTCCCTCTAACATTCTAAACAGTTTGCTGTTGATGTTCTGAGGTAAAATAAATTTCCCCTTAGTGTCTGTTGGGGGAAACCATGG